TTTGAAGATTCTTAACAATACAATAAACTTTATTAGGTTACCAAAATGGGATCTTCATCCCTAATTTACATTATAATGAATTTAAAAAAATACTTGAATAAGGAAAAAAATATATAAATGTAATAAGATACACACCTAATTCAAAAAACGTCATCGTCAAAGGCGATAGGCGAAAGGTCATTCCGACATGGAAATGGTTTCGTTGAATACAAAGAACATCGAATCAGTCTCAACACTAAGGTCCATGTTCTTAACCAGAAGAAGAAGCAGAAAAACAAGTCATTCCAGCTATTCTTGGATCTTGAAATGACCTATCTTCTATCGCTTTGTACCTATCGCCTATTGCCTATCGCCTTTGGCGATGACAACGTTATTTGAATTAGATATATTATTGCCTTTGACATCGTCGTAAATTCGACGACTGACTMAAACCTTGCATTTAATACAGCGTTTTCACGTGACGTCACAGCGGCCATTATGTGGTACCAAAACAATACATTTTCTATCCTCCGGGAATTGAACTCTATTTTTATGCAAATACTTAGCAGAAAGTTTCTATTGTTTATAGCTGCCTTCTCACGTGAGTGAAAACGCTCTATAGTTCAGTCAATTTTCTTTAGGCCCCGTCCACCCGTATCCGGAAATTTTTGTATCCGGAAAATTTTTTTTGCGGATACGGGTTGCGTCCACACGTGTCCGGAAATTTTTGTATCCGTATCCGCAAACTTTCGAAAACGGTCTCCAGAGTGGAAATTTTCGAATACGCTCCGAATACGGATACGYGTGGACGGTCGTATCCGCAAATTTTCGAATACGCTGACGTAAACACGATTTTGCGCATGCTCAATAAGAAAATCTGTCAAAGGGACTAGGAACTRGCGTGCATCAGGGCGGATCAAGAAATTTCCGGGTACATGTGAATAGTGAAAACGATTMAAAAACGATTCGAATACGCTGCGTGTGGACACAGAACATTTGCRGATACAGAAATTTCAGGATACGTGTGGACGGGGCCTACTATTTTTTTTATGACTGAAGACTCACCTGCACAGATTTTGCTTCGTTTACTATCCTTCTACTATAACTTTGAAAACTCGAGCTTGTCAACCAATCAGATTACGAATCGAAAGCAATAGAATTCAAGATACGYGTATTGAGAGCCTATAAAAGCTATTCAAGGAGATGAAAGAGGATGAAAAAGCAAAAGTATATTTACACAACTAAGAAAATAAAAAWAAAAAAACTCGAATGTTCACGGTTAGAGGAGAACGACAGTAAGAGTGAGGCCCCGTCCACACGTATCCGGAAATTTTTGTATCCACAATTTTTTTTTTTTCCGATACGGGTTGCGTCCACACGTGTCCGGACATTTTTGTGTCCGTATCCGCAAATTTTACGAAAACGGATACGTGTGGACGGTGAAAACGATTCRAATACGCTGCGTGTGGACGCAAACATTTTCGTATCCGCAAAAAATAATTTGCGGATWCAAAAATTTCCGGATACGTGTGGACGGGGCCTTATAAATTGTTCACGAAAGTCAGCAATTTTTACGATAACTGATAAATTTGTCTCGCGCCGATTGGTTGTTTTTCATCATCAATAAGAGGACAGACAGATAAAGCTGACGTCAACGAGCGCACGCTCTTTCCGTTGGTTGTTTTGATCGCTAAAATTGAGAAGTTTTTATTGTTATTGTAAAAAAAACAAATAGACATCAGTTTTTTAYGTGTCTGTCCTCCTATTGACGATAAATTGGGTCATCACATTGTCAAAGTAGTGTGGATCCACGAGGCGTAGCCGAGTTTTAAGTTTTGAAATTCCATGGACGTTTAGTGGTATTTGGGAATAGCTGACTTATAAACCAGGCTAAGTCCGTGCAAATGAGTGTTAGTTTATAAAACCCAACGGTATTTCGCTTGCAAAAAAAAAAAAAAAAAAATTATAAAACCCAACGGTATTTCGCTTGCAAAAAAAAAAAAAAAAAATTCCCTCGAGACCAGTTCGATTTCATACATGTAAACATTTGCAGTAGCCACATTCGATCGTTGAGCGCGTATTTTCTTTACAAAGAGATGGGAGAAGCCAGAGGCAACACTGTATATGTACCTAATTGAAAAAACGTAGTCGGGTTCGAGAAGGTCATATCATCGAAGCTAAGACCGAAAAGGATTTTGGGTATTCCGAAATGTGTATTATATTTGCATATAGACATGTAAAAATGCACAGTAGAGCAAAGTCGGTGGACCTAGATTAACACGCCAAAGCCATGATGCATAAAATGTGCACAGGAAGGGAAAACTATAATGCGCATGAAATTAGCATAATTGTTTGTCTTCCCATGCTCCCCTTCGCTCTTAGCTTTGATGGTATAACCATTTTTTGAACCCGACAACGTTTTTGACTGACTGACAAGAACTTTCTTGTACAACTTTTTTTACAACTAATTTACTGATCTCAATAATCATAAATTCACATGTGTTTAACACATTTATTTTCACGATATAATGTTAACAAAGATTCGCTCTTTAAGTTAGAATAAAACAACATTAAAAAATTAAAGGAAATATCAAAAGCTGCAGAATTTAAATTATAATTGTAAATACTGGTTGTTATATAGCTACAAAATTTTCCGTTTTAACGAACACTCTCATTGGTTGGGAGATGACAGTTTGACACTAGCTAAATGTAAACGTATTCCGACTGCTTATTTCACGGTCAGAGAATAAGTTGCACGTGACAATAATCGTGAAAATAGACAAGTGCACGTGATTAGAACGTGAAAAAGCTGATGGCGTGATATTTTCCACCAATCACAAACAACAAAGCGGGAGCAGATATTTTGCTTGAATTTTCAGTATAAATTCAGCTTGAAGCAATATATAGAAACAGATATTTTCCAGCGTTTCTACAGAAGAAATACAGACTTTCATTGAAAAAAATACGAAAAAGCCGCTAAAAATGCTGTTGCTACTCTCCTCGCTTTTTGGTAGTGAAATGGAAGACTGTATGTGAGTTGTATTCGTAAAATAAGTATCAGTTTTCATGCACTTAGCTTGCTAAATAAAGTTCTTATTTCGTAAACTGGCTTCTCAATATTTCTCTATTGCTATATAACAAAACACAAAATGTCTGGTCCCTCGGGAAATTAGTTAGTTTTGTTTTCTCGAGAGTCTCATCTCGATGTTTCCTGAGAGCAATTTCCCATCAGACATGAAGTACTAGTGTATAATAATATAATGGCGATGTGATTAATATAAAAACAACAGCATAACTCGATATATAATGAAAGGCGAGRATTTCACTAATTGATTGCTCACGCGCACGACACTAGAGAAAAACGTTTGCGCATGCGTGCACGTCAGCACTTTTTCTAAGAATTTTGAAGAGTTTGAGTGAGAAAATAAWTTTTTTTTTTCTCCTAGTATACAAAAAAGTTCGCGACTATACTTTTGGCAACCCAAGATACTGTATTAACAAACACAATAGAATACGTTTCGAGCATGGAGACTATGTTTTGGCATTTTGTGAAGTCCAATTTATCAGGCATGTTTGAAAGTCAAATTTACTTATGTTTTGACTARTTTGCATACGGATTCAGAGCATGCGCAGACGTTTTTCACTCRTATCCGCAAATCAATCTCGTACCCAGAGCCTGCGTTTCTTCTGGCCTGCGGCGAAGAACGCGGGCTCTGGCATAATCCATTTTTTGAGACCAGGATTTCTCGGACTTCCGGTATAAGCGCGTATGCGTTAAGACTTGCCAAAAAAATATATATATATAATATATATGTTCCCCATTTCTAATTCTTATTTTGAACGGAAGTAAACACAGAACTCTGTTTGAATGCAGGTTTGAAAGCATGAATTTCATTGATTATATTTCACTTCCGGAAAACTGCACATGCGCCAAAAATGGATTATGTCAGAGCCTTCGTTCTTTGCCGCAGGCCGAAAGAAACGCAGGCTCTGGATTGATCCGCAAATGTTTTGTGCGCAAGCTCMCACCCTGATGACGTCATTCGTCTCTAAAACAATTACACTGACCGATATAACACGAACATTAAATGATTATGGCGTTATGCCGGTTTAACAGTTTTCCATCTAGGGTTTGTTTTTTTATCTAAATACTATTCACAAGTCTGAAGAGAACCTCCGGGTTTGGGTACTGCTCGCTGCCTCCTTTGATCATTATTACTTTACCATCGGCTTGTGATCCAATGTAGAGGTCCGACCGACCGTTGACGTTCCAGCAACGGAAAAGAGTGCTGGAGTAGTAATATTCTGGTTCAAATAAACTCTCTTCGTCTTTAGGGGGCGTCGAGTCTTTTGGTACATCCTTTAGCAAAACAAAAAAATAAAATAAAATAAATAATAAATGTATTGTGCTTTATCGCAGAATTGGCGCATKTTTCTGAGGAGTTGGACATTATTATGTAGGTTAGGTAGCACGTGCGTTAAAAACTGCGCTTTATTTGTGAACGGAGCACAAGGGTTGCTAACGCAGCGCCTTCGCGCGCGCAACAAACTATTTTGTAAAGAATGTAAATAAACAGCATAAAGGATGATTTTATGATTCATGACAGCATCAATGGATTTTCTTTTTATATATAAAAAAAAAAAAATCTATTACATAGCTTTTTGTCCATTCTCTGTTCGGTTATTAAGTGCTTAGGAAGAGCCGTAAGCGCCCAAGACGTGTGAGAAGAAATCGCCAACTGCTAATGCTTCTCTTCACACTTACGTCTTAAGCCCCGTTTACACTGGCGATTTTTGCGGCGATTTTTGCGGCGATTTTTGCGGCGATTTTTGCTGCGATTTTCGAAAATATGAAATCTTTTGTCTCATCCTTCAAAAGAGACATTCGTCTAGGAAAATCTTGGTATCCAGAAAAAACTTTACAAGTAAATTCTTTACCATTATTTATTATGGACAATATCGCAAAATATGTATAAAATATGTAAATGAGTAAATGTCTTTTTTTTTGGTGGACAACGTTAATGGCATTGACTGTATATCGCTAAGTGAGACATGTAGTGCTGTGTAATGAAACCCCCTCCCCCACCCCCCCCCCCCCCCCCCCTGCCCCGGGGAAGGGAGGGGGTTAGGGGTTTGGGGTACTCTCAAATATAAGCTATACGCTCTGGCCTATACGGGTATGTTCCGCTGGATGGATAGGGTATGGTTTATCAAGATGATTTTGGTCTTAGAGAATACGATTCCGATAATTTATGATATTATCTTGGAAAGATAAGACTCTGGAACTTAGTTATTATAAATCGTATTATAAACCGCCCGCGGGATTCCTGAAGAGAGAAGTAGCCATCGTATCCCTGTCCACGCACCTGAAGGTATACTTCGGCTCCTTCATCACTTCCAGTGATAACATACTCGTTAGTAGAACTACTAGGGTTTTCCATCACAAATCGAAATCGTTTGTTTGTTGGAGTAGAATGCTCACGAGCCGTCACCAGTGCTTGAAATCATGAAAATTAAAACAGAGTTAAGAGTGAAATTGCTTATTCTTTGGTGGCACGTTATAGCCGCCAGGTTGGGCGAATACATTCTCTGTTTTTGAAGACTAAGGCCCCGTCCACAGGTATCCGGAAATTTTTGTATCCGCCAATTTTTTTTTGCGGATACGAAAATGTTCGCGTCCACACGCAGCGTATTCGAATCTTTTTCGAGATCCGGCCTGATGCACGCTAGTGCCTAGTCCCTTTGACGGATAGTTTTTCTTATTGAGCATGCGCAAAATCGTGTTTACGTCAGCGTATTCAAAAATTTCCGGATACGACCCTCCACACGTATCCATATTTGGAGCGTATTCGAAAATTTCCAGTCTAGAGACCGTTTTCAAAAATTTCCGGATACGTGTGGACGGGGCCTTATTCTATTTCCTTGTTACATATTTACATGTTTCATGCGCGCTATAAATAATAAAGATTATCATTATTATTATCACTTACTGACTTGTCTGTCAGCAGTATCATTAGTACCATCACACTTTACATTGGCCGAAATCCTTTTCAAATAACAACCATTCGATCGGCTGACAGTAGACCAGAAGCGATAAACACCATTGTTTATGACTCGATGGGGAGGATTATCGCCAGTTTCTACACATTCACTGCATCGACTTCGGGTATTTACTGTGTACTGGCGATAAAGGAACATGGTAAAAAAGAACGGTTAATGACTAGGTGTAAAATTATTAACTCAATGCCCGTAGCAATAGATAAAATCGATAAAAAATCAATACAAATGGATAAAAAATAAGGAATTTTATTGGAAATTGATAAAAATTGTTTAGTATTTTTTGTTAGTAGTGAATAATCTATATTTATCGATTTTTCACTTATTGATATCGATTTTATCGATTTATAGAAATAATTTTTCATTTGCAAAAAGCAAAGAAAAGCAGAAAAATCAAGTCAGAAATTTGACGGAATTGGCCCTTTGCAGTTAACGGTCACGTGTTTGTACTGGAGAGCAGAAGTTTTGCTTTTGTTTGAATAGGTTGCTATCAATAGACGTCACTTCCGGTAATAGCTCTTTTTTGATGGCTTGTAGA